GAGGGCGGGGCCTCGGATGGACCGCTGCCCATTGGATGCAAGGCCCCGATGAAGACAGATTGACCAATCACTGTCCGGCAAGATCCGTAATTACCCCGCCGCGGGAGAGCAGTGGACCCAGCGTATCCATGTGTGTGCGCGGGTGTGTGCGCGCGCGCGTGTATGTCATGTGTGCATGTGTGCGTCTGTATGTATGTGAGCGTGTGCGGGGCAGTGTGAAGACACCAAGTCTTCTAAGAAACCACAAGAAGATGGGCTGCAATCTTTATTTTTTAAGACCCTACAAATCATTTAAACAAGGGAGCTTTGCCAAAGCAGGGCTGCAAAAATGCATCAATTTTAATATTTACATTTTATGAAATACGCTTTCTTTGCGAATTGTAGTACGCTAGAACTCTCCATTCCGGACTCCGTCTCAGTGTGTAAGGAAATGCAACCGTACAGGGCACTTCCCGAGATCCTCCGCGGGGGAGCGGGTCCCCACTGCACTGGCACAGGCGCCGCCAACTCCCCAGGCCTTGGCCTTGGAAGGGGTGGGATCTTCCGGCCCAGTCACGTCCCCACCCCTCGCCAGAGGTCTTGGCTGCAAGTCCCTTTTTGAACCTCCGTTTCTCGGCCTGTAAGAGTTGGGAAGCCCCCTTCCATTTCAAGAGCTAGGCGACAGAAGAGCTGGTAACCTTCTGATACACTTCATCTGCTAGCAGGTGACTGCCAAGTCACCGATCACAACATGGGCGCGCTCAGTTGCAGCCAAGAGATGCATCCAGCCGCCCGCTGGTGACTGCCCGCAACCTGTATCCAAAACAGGAACGTGCCCCCTCGCTTAATTTTCCAAACCATCGTGAAGTGAGCATCACCACATTTTCCGGAGGGAAATACTGACGCGAGAAGAGACTCCCCCAGTTGACGCTCCAGGCATAGAGCTCACCCTGCATGGATGTCCGAGTCCAGCCTGGCAGCAGAGCAGCAGGATAGGATGCTGGGCGGGTCCAGAGGCCCAGACAGTGGGATAATGAGGGCTGGGCCTGCAATGGTGGCAGACAAAGCACAGTTCTCCTGGGTGCACCTCTTGGGCGCGCCTTCTGGAGGCAGTGGTAAAGGACTTCTGGTGCCCAGTGGCTGCACAACCTAGGGCAGGAAGTGGACTTCTCTGCAGCAGATGTTCAACCTATCTTCTTCCCCAAGTGGGGCAAAAAGAATCAAATCAGGGACTGGGTGGGTTGAGACAACCACGTTGATGGGTTTCTACCCCATTTCATAGTTGAGAACCCGAGTCAAAGTTGGGTGTTTAGCAAAGAGCTGAGGTCTCCTAAGTCCTGATCCCTGGGGTGTCCAGGGTCAGAGACACAAGGACTGCAGGTGCCCCAGCCAGAGGGGCTGAGCCCAGGGAATAAAGGGTCACCCAAATTCGTTTGGAGGAGGAGGAGAACACAAGCTCTGGGAGTTTGGACAAACGGGGCGACTGAAGCCAGAGAGTGTCCCCGAGTAACAGGGCCACCGCTGCAGGAAGGGCGCGATTTGGATAATCACCGATACATGCAGGTTGCCAGGTCCACCTCAGCGGCGCCTCCTCACGTTTCCTCTCCGTCCAACCTCAAACCTGCAAGGACTGAGCCCTGGTTTCCCCTTCTTGGAGCACCTTCAGGATGCGGGCGAGTCCTCCTCAAGCCCCCTCTGAGGGGGCTTCCTCAGAGCCTGGATTCAAAGTCCCTCTTCTCTGGGACTTGTGGCCCTAGATCAGGAACTTGAAAACCTGCATCCAGCGCCGCCGGCATTGCGAGGCGTGGGAGTGGAGGCTGCCAGGCGCCAGGCGGCCACCACTGTCCTCCTACCGCTTCTGCGGGGCGCGCATGAGAGCAGAGACTGCAGGGCGGACGTGCGGGGCTGCGGTGCCAGGCTATACGCGCGGTGAGCCTGGAGAGTGCTGCTGGCCACTGGCGTCGGCCCTTGGTGACTGGTGGCGAAAGTGCAACCCGACCCCTACGGGGGACACCTGGCGGCAGCTGACACACCACAGCTCTAGACTATCCACTCTGGCAGCCCGCGTTAAGACGGCTAAGACGAAGCCTAGGACACAGCGCTGGAACTGGAGAGTGGGCGGGAGGCAGTTAGGGACGCGAAAGCTGGCCCAACTGGTGCTGGTGCCAGTTGCTGGTCCTGGGCTCCTGGGGCCGAGTGGGCACTCCAACGTCCGGGTGAGCGGAGGGTTCGGGGTTGTACTGTGGGCAGAGGCGGTGAACCAGCATTGCTGCCTTCCGGGCTTCGGGCGTTTGGATGTGGCAGGTCGGGGTGTCCAGTGGTTCTCAGCTCAGCGACAGTCGGGACCAGGTTCCAGAGACACTCTGTGAAGCTGCCTCTCTCAGCTGGGACCTCTGGCTTTCCCAGAGCCAGGACCCAAGGTTCCCTTGCCCAGTAGGTACTAGACAGAATTTGTGAATTGGGGAACTGCCCCAGCTCCAAAACCCCCCCAGGCCACAACCATCCTTCCTCACGGACAGTGGCCGCCATGTCTGTGGCTTCTCAGTCCTCTTCTGCCCTTCCTGGCATCTCTGCTGCGCTGTCCGTTGGGAGCCTTAGGCTCTCCAGCAGACCCTGCAGGGAGCCCAGAGTCCTCTCTGTTGGAGAGCTCTGCCTTCAGCAGGGTCCTCCTCACCACTGTGACCCAGTGCCCAGCGCAGGGGCTCCTAGCCAAGATGCCCCATAAATCTGAGCAATGGGTCGTGGGAATGATCCCAAGCACACAGATCCGAATCCCAAACTACAGGCGGCCAAACTTGTTTTTTTTTTTTTTTTTTTTTTTTTTTTTTTAAAGAGAGAGTGAGAGAGAGAGGGGGACATAAAGAGAGAGTGAGAGAGAGAGGGGGACAGAGAGAGAGAATTTTTAACATTTATTTATTTTTTCTTTGTTCTCGGCGGACACAACATCTTTGTTGGTATGTGGTGCTGCTGAGGATCGAACCCGGGCCGCACGCATGCTAGGCGAGCGCGCTACCACTTGAGCCACATCCCCAGCCCCTTTTTTTTCTTTTTAATAAACTTTTTTTTCAGAACAATTTTACAATTTAGATTTTATTTTTGTTTCTTTCATCCCTCATCCCAATCTTGTTTCTCTTTACCTCATTCCCTGCTGTCCCAAATGCCTGCTTTTATATATTAATTTATAAAAACAATACAACATTATATGCTTCTACTTCTCATTAAAAGATCTAGTTGACCCCCTAGTGGGGATTCCAGGACCCCGCTTCCCGTATCATACCAAACTGTGAGGATTCTCAAGTCCCTGATATACAGTGGAGCTGTATTTGTATCAGACCTATGCAAACCTCTGTGTAGTTTAAGTCATAGCTAAAGCCTTGTGATACCAGATACAATGTAAAAAGCTGTTGTACTTTATTTGGGAATCATGACAAGAAGACAGTCTACCTGTTCAGTGCAGGTTTTCATATATATGTGTGTGTGTGTGTGTATATATATATATATATATGAATATATTTTGCAGTGTTGGGAATCAAGCCCATCTTTTGAATATTTTCTGATCTGTGATTGGTGGAATCTGAGGGTGCCGAACCTGCTGTGTATGTGTGCGATGTACCTATGTTGATAGATCTATGTTGATCCTTGCAGGAACACACTGCCCCCAGGTGCTAGGGATGGAACCCAGGGACTCAGGAATGCTGGGCAAGTGCTTTGCTACTGAACTGCATCCCCAACCCTTTCTAGTTATTATTTATTTATTTATTTAAAGACAGCTTCACTAAGTTGCCCAGGCTAGCCTTGAACTTGTGATCCTTGCTCCAGCCTCAGAGCAGTGGGTTACGGCATTGTCTCCTCTGTTCCTTTTTGTAAGTGCTGTGTACTAATCCAGAATTCACATGCTGTTTAGTACAGCTGCGTACACAATCCCCCAAACAGCAAAACAGCCGTTTATGAGAGTGCTCGGAGCCCCTCTGGATCACGATGGCTCATCTCCAGTTCATGAAGTCTGGGCCCCAGTTGGGAATCTTGAAGTGTGTGGTAGCACATGGGGCTCATCTA